AAAAAAGGATGGACCGCCGTTGGAGGGTGCCAAGCACTTCCATTCTGGGGAAGGACTGCACTGCGTATTGCTTAATTTTCTCATGTGATCTGCGTTCTATGCTTCTTTTTTTTTCTTTTCTTTTCTCCCTGCATTTGGAATTTACTGGCACCCTTTGGCATGTGGTTCCTTTCTTTTTTTTTTTTCTTTGCCAGACCTCCACTCTGCTATTGGTTTAGTGCGATTCATACACTCAACGCAAGCGAAGGAATAAGGAACGGTATGGCGAAATTTTACGACCCATGTATTGTTGCAGTCGGTGTCTCCGGCTTTGTTGGTGTTGTCGCCGGTGCCTATGGGGCCCATGCACTCCATGGGCGATTGACGCCCAAGCAACAGTCAGCCTGGACCACAGCCGTTAATATAAACCTTATCCACACCGCGGGCTGTTTATCCGTGCTGGCTCTGCGGAAGTGCGTTGACCCCAATGGCCCTGCCGCCAAACACCTTAACCGTGCGTTTCATCTTCTGCTTTTGGGCACCACTCTTTTCGCTGGCACCATCTACGCCACTTCTCTGGGTGTACCGGGCAAGGTGATAGGGCGGCTGACGCCCGTTGGTGGTGTGACGCTGATGCTCGGATGGCTCACCGTTGCCCTCGCCGGCTTATAAAAACATTTTTCAATCTTGGTTCCATGTGTGAGGCGGGCGCAGTACGGCAGTGAAAATATACGCACATATCTCCAAATATTTTTTTTTGTATAACATTTTCCCTGGTCCCTTTCCCGATGATATGGGAGCTAGTGAAAAGAATCTTCGCGAGAAGGCTGGCTACCCCAATGAATATATTGTGATAAGATGAATACATATTTCTATGCGATTCTCTCCCATTTTATTATTAATTATTAATTATTATTATTATTTTTGGGAGAACGCATTTGAAGGAATGAGGGAATCCGATAACGGCAAGACGAATTTTATTTATTTTTATTTTTATTTTTTCCATCCACCCTCTTTGATTCCGACCTTGCGGCGGAGTCTTGTGGCTGGAGGGCCCAAAGTGTTCCAACTCGTAAGTAATAAATGTTTCCAATCCGAACACACCGCACCGTGGCACGAGAGTGCCTGTCCGAATATATAGATGTAGTTGGGACTAACATTGAGGATGTGGCGAGGCCGCTGCCTCTCCATGGCCCTCTTCTTCCCGTCCTGTTTTCTTTATGTATAAAGCTTCAGGGTCCGGTCCGCAGCCCAGGCGAATATTTGGCGGAGAGTATTTGCGTGTGTGTGTGTGTGTGTGTGTGTGTGTGTGTGTGTGTGTGTGTGTGTGTGTGTGTGTGTGTGTATGTAAATTTGTGTGCGTGTCAAGAGCATTTGATTGCACCGCCGAGTGTAAACTTGTTTTATCGTATTTTCTTTTGGTTGACACTCACGTGCTCTGCGAAGAACGAATACGTCAGCTCATAAATTAGCAATCAGAAAGACATAAGGAACCAGCCAATAACAACAGTAATATAATAAAGACATCCAGAATACAAAGCACACCATGGCGAAGGTAAAGGATACAGCTATGATTGTTGTTGGTGTTGTGGGCTTTATCGCCGTTGCGGCCGGTGGCATTGGCGAGCACGTGCTGGGCCCGAAAATGACGCCCGAGTTGCAGAAAGCATGGGGTCTTGCGGTGCAGTTCAACCTCCTGCATGCCACCGCGTTGTTGGCCGTCTTTACCGCCTTGAAGGGTGTTGATCCCAATGGCTCTGCCGCCAGGCGTCTCAACCGTGCGTTTCATCTTCTGCTTTTGGGCACAATTCTCTTCGCTGGCTCCATTTACGCGATGGGTTTTGGTGTGCCGGGCAAGGTGATAGGGCGGCTGACGCCCGTTGGTGGTGTGACGCTGATGCTCGGATGGCTCACCGTTGCCCTCGCAGGCTTCTGAAGACATTTAGTATAAAATTTATGATTTTATTTTTTTAATATATATTTTATTTTATTTTTTACTCCCTACTGATTTTAAATGAGAAATGGCATGGGATAACTGGGCCTTTCAAAAGGGTGGTCTGGGGGGAGGGGGAAATAATAAGGGTGCAACATAGGGGCGGGGGCGGGGGGTTTCCAACGTAGGGATATGCACAGGGCACACCGAATTTTCTTACAGTTGTGAGAGAAATACAACAGTGCTTGGGTATTCTTGAATGACACGTTTGCCATGTACATTATTTTTTTCTTCTTTTTCTTTTTTTCTGAGTGAGAGATGCCTATGTGCCGAACGTGTAGAAAGACGCGATGAGATGTTGTCTTGTGGGTTTTTGAACAGGCTCCAAACGATCGAGCAAACCTATCACCTGCGCTGGAGGGCTATTGTGAATGTCGCCAACGATATCAGCAAGGAATGAAAAGCGTAGGAGCGACATTATCGATGGTGAAACGGTCCAGAAGACCACTCATCGTGATATTTTTCCGGTGACCTTCAAATTGAAGGGTGAGGATTTGTTTTTTAGCGGGTGTCGGGATGAGCGTGTGGTGTTTTACCCAGGGTTGCTGAAGCCCGGCGGATCGTGGTGCCTGAACGCGGAATCCATGCAGGCGAGGGGGAGGAAGACCACTGACCATAAAGGTATCAAAGGGTGCGTGCGCACGGGTGTTGTACGAGGATGGCATGGCGAAGTTGAATTTCCCGACAGCAGGACTCGCGAACTTGTGCCTAGAGGGTGGCGCAAGATTCGGTGCCCCAAGCACACTTAGGCGCATGACTTCGCCGCGGACGGCGTCACCTCCGTGTGCTCTCAGACCTCCACAGCGGCAGCGCACTCCACCTGGACCAGGAGTCTTTTTGACTATACCAGCGTGGAGGTGGCGATGGCATTGTGGCTGGTGATGGGCCTTCTCATCTTGCACTTTTTTTCTGTGGCGATGGTGCCTTTTTGAACAAAAGCTCTGGCAGTGGATTGGCGTAAAAAGACTTTTGACAGGGCAATAACAAGAGGACACAGCTCGTCTCATTGAAGCTCCGAGCTCAACGTGTGCGATATAAGAGGAGCTTGCATTTTTTTAGGAGCTTGTGAAGAGAATGATAGCGGGAGGGCTGGCTAACTTAATTAATGTATGTGTACATCCTGATAAATGAATGCATTCTTTATGATACTCTCTACCGTATGGATCTTTTGGGAAGAATACCACTTTGTAGGGGCAGGGAGCCGATAGAGGCCGGATAATTTTTAATTTTATTTTGCCATCCCACCCTAACCCCCTTGATTCCCACCTCGCGGCGGTGTCTTGTGGTTGGAGGACCCCAAAGTCTGCCACGTCGTAAGAAATAATATTTCCTACACTCACTGAGTGCAAAGGCCACGTGAGCGGTCAACAGAATGTATATGTATTATTTGTTTTTGCACAGAGCCATATACGTATTTATATAGTTGAACGCCGTACTTTCTGTACCTGCTATTGTTGTTATTAAAAGTAAAAAATTGCGGCTTTTGGGAAGCTTATCCATGTTTCTCATACGCTCGACCTGTATTTCTCATGTTGCCAGTCTGTAATTGGGGATAGAAAGCTTTTTTTTTTTTGTTCTTGTTGATTTTGGATGATGTATCTGCCGTCATTTCTTTTTGTTCTTTTTGTTCTTTTTTTGCCCACTTGCCTCTTCAAATATTGAAATGCTGGCGTTTTGACATGAGCTTCAGTAAGATTTACACGGTTTGGCCTTCACTTTTCTTTCCCTCTTTCTGTGGGTGCGTGTGTCTGCATTGAAACTGCGGGAATGACAAACGAGTATTGCGAGGCACGGCGGAGTTCCATCACACTTCCACTTCCCGGGACGAAGTTTCGCCCAAGTGTGGTGGTGGGTGTAATTGAGGAGGTGTGTCGCTCCCTTGTGGGGGACCGACCGTATGTGTACGATGAGATTCAGGTACTAATCAAAGAAATCTGCAGCGAGATACAGCAACGTGTCGTGCGTCTCGGGTACGAGCGGTACAAATTTGTGACGCATGTCACCATCACCGAGGCCGCACATCAGGGAATGCGGATTGCTTCTCGAGGGCTGTGGGATCCTGTGACGGACGGTTATGCGGCGTACACGCATTCAACGGAATCCATGCATGTCAACGTTGTTCTCTACGCGCTTTATTGGGAATGAGATGTGATGCCACTGTCTCTGAGGGACCGACTCTGCCGCGTTGGACTTTTTTCCCTTTTCTCTTTTTTTCATGCCTCTTTCTCTGTGCACGAGAAGGTGGATTTGAGTCTGTGTGTTGCTTTCTGCATTAGATGGTGGAAGAGGTTATTCAAAATGACAATGGAGGGCGGGCGACGCAGGGGAACGTGATGTTCCTATTCTTTGGATGTGACGGGACTTATTGATGTAAAAAAAAAAATAAATGTTGTGGCAGCAGAAGAGAGGGCAGCTGATGAGCTCTGATGGGTGACGTTTTATAGAAGTGCGGCGCCTGGAATTACCGTCTTATTTTCTTTCCGTACTCTTCATTTTTTTTTTTTTGTTGTTGTTTTAAACACACGCTTTTAACGTGAACCCGAACACACACACACACACACAAACGCACACACAAACAAACAAACAAGAAAAAGGTGACACAAGCACCCCCACCATGTCGAAGAAGCAGGAAGTAAAGTTTTACGGTTCCAGCGCCGCGAAGGACGAGCTGGTTTACGGCGTTGTGCACATTTATGCGTCCTTCAATGACACATTTGTTCATGTGACGGATATGTCTGGTCGTGAAACCTTCTGCAAGATTACTGGTGGCATGAAGGTGAAGGCGGATCGTGATGAAAGCTCGCCCTACGCTGCCATGATGGCTGCACAGGACGTTGTGGCGCGCTGCAAGGAGTGTGGCATCAACGCGCTGCACGTCAAGATGCGTGCTACTGGCGGTGTGGGCACGAGGAGCCCCGGCCCCGGCGCTCAGGCTGCCCTTCGTGCTTTGGCGCGTGCCGGCATGAAGATTGGCCGCATCGAGGACGTGACCCCTATTCCGACCGACTCTACCCGTCGAAAGGGTTCTCGCCGTGGTCGTCGTCTGTAGGGACTGTGTGCGCCACGCAATGGAGTGTTTTGAGTCACATTTTCTTTTATGGTTTCGACTTTTGTTTCTTTCTGACTACTAAAAATAAATAATGCATAAGCATGTAAACATGCCTCCCTTCCCCTCTTGTTGTTGTTGTTGTTGTTGCAACCTTCTTTCACTCTGTAGTGGTCGGCACGAGCGGTGACGGATAGACGCGGAGCGTGTGATGTTTATTTGGGCCTTTTTTCTTGTTTTTTTTTTTGTTTTTCTGTTTTTGCCGGTGCTGGGTCCTTTTTCCCGTCGCTACAATTAGATTACCGAAGGAAGGAAGGGGGGTGAGTGGGGGGAGGGGGTGCGACGGCGCGGGAGGTGAAACGTGTCGTCTGAGCCGGGGGAGTGTTTGGGCTCGGTCCCATTGCGTTCGAGTAATTCTTACGAGAGAGAGAGGGATGAGCGGAAACGTGAAGCTGAACGCTATCGCTTCCGCTGCAACTTCCGCGGCGAAGAAGAAGGCGGATGAAAAGCCGCGGGCAATCCTTCCACATGAGTTTCTCCTTAGCTTACACGGCCGACGTGTGACGGTCTTTTTGTCGTACCAGAACCACGAGCTGGAGGGAACTCTGATGGCGGTAGATGCTGACAAGGGTGACGTCTTTCTGGAGAATGTTGTGCACTTTGTGTGGAGTCACGGTGTGGCCGTTGGAAACGTGAAAGAAGGCAGGCGTACGGAGTTGCGACGCTGCAGCAGTGCCATGGTGAATAGCCGGTATATTGAAATAATCACCCCCGCTTGAAGTTGCTGGCCACAACGTACAGATAATATAATCTTGTCTGCCGCTTTGGACGTGCAAAAAGTGCTGAGGTGAAGTGGGGTGGGAATAATGAAATTGATATTTGAGACATCTGTTTTGTATATGCTTTTGTATGTCTATATTTATGTGTGAGTGTTTGTGTTTAATACTTTTTTTCATCTCCCTTATTTTATTTTATTTATTTTTATTTTTTATTTTTTTTTGTTCGTAAACCATTCTGTACACAACTTGTATGTTTTTGGTGCATGTTTCCAAAAGAAAGTATTCATCGCAGCGATGTCTCGCATTACTAACAAAATTTGCGGCGGCATGGCCAGGGCGAATGTCGTGGACCATGGCGTCTATATGAAGCCGATCTCTCATAACCCATACCTTTCCACGGTTCACGACGGCGTTAGCACTGGCTACCTTGCGGGATTTTCGGCCAAGCCCATGCATTGGCTTTACCGCTTCCGCTACAACACTCTTCCACAGGGTTTTGCAACGGGATTTTTTTCCCGCAATCCATATGGACGTTATGTTCACTGGCTGGAAGTGAGCACAATTGAGAAGATGCGTCTGCAGGCCATCTCTGTGGAAGGTCTACCCTGCAACGTCGTTTCGGTGTTGGTGACTCTTTATTCTCTCTGGTACATTTACCGCCTGTGTTTTTACCACCCAGACCTCACGCTCTACAACTTGGGCCTCTGGACAACGAAGCCGTGGATTTCAGCGCAGCGATTCAATAAGAAACATGAGCTTGACCAGCCCATCTTCCGCTGGATCCATCGTGCGCCAGAGTACTTCATCACGGACCCGTATCGTGAGCTCAACAAGCTTGAGGTGGCGGCCAACGACACGTGGCGAGAGTATGTCAAGTCCATCGGACGCGAAGACGAACTTCTGATTGGGCCGCATGACAAGGGATACGGTGTGGACGGTAAGGGCATGCTGCTACCGATGGAGATTCCACATGAGGACAAGAGCGGTCACAGCCCTGGCCCGTTCCCTACTCTCCGTTAACCCTGAATGAAGCCCGCGCGTGTAAAAAAAAAAAAAAAAGAAAGAAAAAAGAAAAAAAAGCCAAAAAGAAAAAAAAAAAGAAAAGTAAGAAGGGAGAGGGGGGAAAGAAATAGAGTTATCATAGTACTTGTAGGAGTATCATCTGCAATGACATTTGGGGGTAGGAGGAGATTTTTTCTTTTTTTTGCGTGTGTGTGTGTGGTCTGGTTTCTTATTTTTCTTTTTCTTTTTTTCTTATTGTGTCCGTGCATGCTGATGTTTTTGTCTTATTTGCTCCTTTGCCGTGGGGAATGTGTAGTAATTCGGAGCATCGTGTTGCATGTCAGGCTGGAAAAGATGTGGAGCGATAAGAAGAAAGGAGAGGGTGTAGGATTTGGCATGAAAACTGGGGAAAAATGAATTATTATTATTATTATTATTATTTTTACGGTTGTTGTTATTAGTAGTGAAATGTTTGTTTGGCTGTTTGGTATTTTTCATTGTCTGCAGGGGAGGGGTGTGTGGGCGCTCTTTTTCTCTTCCTGGCACACCGGACATATTCACCTGTTTATTCCTATGGAACACACACATGCATGCTTACCTGTATGTATGTGTTTATATACATTTAGGCAATGTTGTTGGATGCTTTTTTTTACTTTTTTATTTTATTTTATTTTTTCTTTCACTCTTGTGACGAAAATGTATTGCTTACAACTTTGGTCATCAGGTGTGTGTGTGTGTGTGTGTGTAGGGGAGGGGATTATCGTGACGGCTTACCCACCAAACGAAGAAGGAAGATTGAGGTTTGGGCTGATGGGGGATGGAGCGACAGACACTGTTTGTGACGTCACACGAAAAGATTCGTGTGACAGCCGCGGTGGTGGTTTCTGTGGAGCGAAGCAGCAAAGAACTTCTGGTGCGTGATATGCATCTATTCCCTAATGAGACGCTGCGGAGTCTTCTTTATGTCGGCTGTTCCGACGGCACACTGCACGTATGCCAATGTCTCACCTGTCTTAACCAAGAGGAGGTGCGATATGACGTGAGGACAACTTGTTTACATAAAAAGTCTCTTTCAACTTACGGCGAGAAAAAAGTGGATGAAAAGGGCACGGATTTTGTCCAAGACGGTATCGTATTTCTTCATGTCGATAACAGGCTGTCGAATCCACAGCTTCTGGTTATTGTGGATGGATCTCTTGACGCACTGCATTGTGAAGGCTTGGAAAGCTCAGGTATTTTTCAACACCTTCCTCTCCCTTCTGGGGCCGCGAGTGTATGCTGCGTGGCGCGGGGCCAGGATTACGTGTTGCATCATGCCCAGCGTCTTGCCGTGCTTATCAAAAGATGGATTGTTCTCGTTGAGTACACAGAACGAGATTCTCGGATTCTTCAAAGCGGCACGGAGACTCAAGAACCTGCTGCTGCCGAATCTCTGTACATCTTGGCACCGGAAGATACACAAACCATGGCATGGCAACGAGACTTTATTGTGACGGGCAGCCTAAAGGAGTACTGTGTGTTTGATGTGAACACCCATCATTTGCGAGAACGAATGGGGGTGGTGGATACATTGACCCAAGGTCTACTTTGCCGTTATGTGGAGGGGTTTGGAGAAAGCTCATATATATTGATTCGAATAAGTGACGACCAGCTTGCTTTATTTGATGCCACAACAGAAACAGACCTTGAAACGGTGTCACCTGTTCAATTTTCAGAATCCGTCGTCGATGTTGCGTGGGCACCACCATTTTTTATTGGCATCAAAGCGGATGGTGGCGTGTTGATGCGGTCGTGGTTAGACGGTGAGGATGAGTTTCCCCACATTAATGCCTCTTCTGCCTATTCGACCTCCGGTTTTGACGGGGCACCGCAGCAGGTGCACTCCACGCCTCTCGGCATTTATGGTCTCTGTGGTCGCAGCGTCCAGTTCCTGTTACTGATGCCGAGGAAGACTATAGTCGCGCTCTACATTGATGCAGGTCTGTATGAACGTGCTCTGCGCTACGTCGATCACACACACACTGCAGAAAAAGATGTGCATCTACGGCGTGTCTATAATGTCTGTGCACGTCATGCACTGATGGAGAAAAAGTACACAGAGGCCTTTCATTATTTTGAACTGGCATCAACACCCACACAAGAGCTATTGGAACTTGTGCCAGAGCTGAGACGCTCACCGAAAGACACCGATGCGTGGAAAGTTAAAGTAACTCCCACCTTGAGTAGTGGTGAAGCCTATCAAGATTTGTATGAGCTGCTTCTACGCCGGCGCTCACTTGGGCTGGGCAGTAATACAGAGGAACAAAGTGCGATTGAATTTGCTATTTTTCTTCTTTACGTGCTGGAGTGTGTGCCGTATACGGACGATGAGTTGGCGGATATGTTTCTCTTATCTTCGACTCTTGTGCCTGAAGAATGTTTACGTTACGTCTCTGAAGACGGCATACGACCTAAACCGATGATTGTGCCTTTAGTACTCGCGTGTGACGGGAGGTTTTCAGAGGCGTTGGAGTGCTGCCAAGCTCAACGTCTCGTACATGAGGCTGCTGTTGTGTTACAAATGAGTGGCGAGGAGCAGCTGTACATGCAGTACTTTCCTTGGATGCTGAGTGTCGATATTAATGCTGCATTGCTGGCAGTCGTTCGGCCGCAGTTGCGAGCACCATCGGTTTCAATGATCCTCCCGATGCTTCTTGGATACGGTGGTTACCCGCTACACGACTATTTGCACTTCCTAATCTTTATGGAAGGGAACACGCAAAGGGAGCTGCACACGCTATACGCCACAAATCTTATTGATATTGTTTGTAGCCTGCAATCGTTTGGTGTGGAGGGTCTCAAGGCAACTTCTGTTAAAGTGCGTGCGGGCGAGGAATCTGGAATTCGTGGAGCGGCACGTCGGGCGTTGTTGGTGTTCCTTCAACTTAGCTCTCATTACGAGGCGGATGTGGTACTTTCTTGGCTTCAGGGCGCAGGTCTGGTCGAGGAAGAGGTCTTGGCGATGAAACAGGCCGGTGACCACATTGGCGCCCTGACAAAACTTGTGTACGAGTTGAACGATGTCGCCGCCGCGGTGCGGTATTGCGAAGAGCAGCATGCACGCGAGCTTCAAAGTCGGCGTGGTAACGTCTTTAAATGGTCCCTCGAGACCAAAGAATTTAATGAGTCCGCGGCTTTGCCAGCATGTGATGAGCCTTTACACGAAACATTTGCGGATAGAGACGACTCCGTGTGGCTTGCAGGGAATCGCTACATGGTTCAGGGAAGCCGTGCATTCAATGAATACTTCAACATCCTTCTTCATGTGTTACTTGTTCCACCGGCAGGTAAGAAGAGACTTCTCTCGGAGGCTCTTTGGGTTCTCAATGAGCATTCCCCATGTATCAATCCGCTATCGGTTATGACAACCCTACCGAGTGAGGTGTGTGTGGCGGAGATATCGTCATATCTTGTACGTGCGTTCCAGACGCTATGCAACCAGGTTCAGATGGCGGAGATCAATGCCAATTCGGTGGCTTCTATGGTTGCTGATGCAGAACGGCACAATGCCTTGCTTAGACAGAGATGTGTGTATGTGGACGAGAAGCGACCGTGTGCCGTTTGCGGCAAGGCGCTTGGGGTGGGAGTGATAGCGGTCTTTCCGAATTTGAAGGCGACACACTTCCGTTGTTTTCATGCTCAAGAACTGGATCCGGAGCGTGGGGTGCCATTTCGGCCAGACCTGTGATTGCCGTTCCCACCGAACGTGACTTGGTTCAACGAGTTTCAATATATCGATATCGTTATGCAAGTGGCGCTGCTTTATTATTATTATTATTATTATTATTATTATTTATTATTTATTTGTTTATTTATTTTTTTCCCAACGTCATGTTGACAGTTGTATGTGTGTTTGTTTGGAAAAAAAAGAAAGGGTGTTATTTTTGTTTTCTTAATGATTTCTCACACATGTGTGCAGTGTCTTCTCTCTTTCCATTGTTTACGACTATTACTACTACTATTATTATTAACATTGTTATTATTACTGTTCTGGTTTTTGTCGTGTTGTTGTTTACATACTACTATTAATAAAAAGAAAGGAAAAAAAAAAAAGTTGGGTTTCGGATGGAATCAAGTGGGAAGCTTCTTGCAGCAGCAGCAGCGTTTGTGGAGAACATTTCTGCTGTTGGTGTGTGTAGTAACGAGGGATGCCTCAATGCGTTTAATCCCTCCGCGTTTAGCTTGCCGCTTAAATTTAACGGTGGTGTTCCTGTTTTGCCACCAACTGCTGCGAGACTTGAGGCGGCGATTGCGGCCGAAGTTTTCCCACTGGGGTTGATAGGACGTCAATTATGCAGCTCCGTTACTCAACTTGGTTTTACGGTGAAGGAGTACGTCGCGAAGCTTTTCACCTCAGCTCAGCATCAGTTTGGCTGCAGCCTGGAAACTCTCTTGCATTCCCTTTGGATTCTGGAGCGCATCCAGACGAGAAACATACTGGCCCAGCAAAAGGGTATTATTGCCTTGCGAAATGGTTCTTATTGCAGGTTTAGTGACGTAGATAATGACATGTGGGCAGGCAAGGATACATCGGGCCTCATTTTGACTGAAACCGGGGCAACTGTCCATGACGGCATAAATGCTGAGGAAATCCGCAGCGCTGCCCCTCTCGTCTCTTCCGTTTCATCTGAAATGCGCTCAGTGGGGCCCATGTCGGATGTTGGGGATGACGACTCTCTCTGTACCGTGTGCACTGGAAGTCGTGTGTTCAGTCTACAGCCGTGGAACGTGCAGCTCTTTATTGCTGCCTCGCTGCTACTCAGCATAAAGGTTAATGAGGATGCATTTGCGGAAGTGGATGGTGAGATGCTAACTCTTCAGTTTGGTACGATGGCAGGGTGTGAATTTAAAGCACTTCTTTGCGCCGAACGCTGTGTATGCGAACTCATATGGGATGAACTCCGAGTAACACGAAAGGGAATAGAGAACGTCATACGTCGCCTCGGAATGCGACTCCCCGTCCTATGATCATGACGCCCGCCGGCCCGGTGTGCAGACGAACACCACAGCGGGAACGTAAAAAAAAAAAAAAAAAAGAAGTGGTGAATGAAGAGAACCATCACGTGTGAAGAAATGCTCTTTTTGTAAAGAGCGTCTCCTTTTTTTATTTATTTTTATTGTTTTATGTGGTTCTGTTGTTTTGTTTTTTCTTGATGATGATGATGGCAGAAGTGTCTGAAAACTTTTGGGAGGAGCGTTTTTTTGTTCTTTTTCTTCCGCTTCTCTTATTCCCGCGTTGTGTGGTGGCGGGTGCAGCTGTTTTTTTTTTTTTCTTTTTTTTTTGCCCCGCAAATTCCCACAGGGATCCGGTGGTTGTGGGACTTTAACGACTGCCATCACGTGAGTTTAAAACGAGCCCGGTGGTCGTAGATTGGATTATGGACTAATCGGCTTACTGGTTTGTGTGTGTTTGGGGGGTAGATGAGTGTGTGGAGGTAATTCTTTGGGCGGGGGGGGAATATTGGGTAATTGTGGGCTTTAAGCGTGGCCTTCTTTTGTCTTGTGTGGTGCCTCCTTCTTTCTCTCTGTGCGAGGCGGAGGGGACAGGGCCTCTGCCAAAGGGGTGTGTGTGTGTGTGTGCATGTTGTCTGCCCTTTTTATTTTTTATTTTTTATTTTTTTTTTTTGGTGATGTGTGGATGTTGCGTGAATGGCGCATTCGTGCAGAGCGTCTTTACTTGTGTGAGAGTAAAACTGAGAGACTCTTTGGCACGATTGATACCAGTTCACGCCGAGTGGCCCCATCACGTTTATTGTTGTAAAACTGAATCTTTCGCAGTCCTTTGTTGGTCGATGCTTAATTATTATCATTATTATTATTTTTGTTCTTTGTGTGCGCAGTAAATAAAAAATTTTGAGCGATGTCGCTGCCTCTACTTCTGCTGCTTTTCAGTAATGATGATGATTTTATTGTGTGAGGAGGGCTGGGGGCTGGTATGCTCCGTAACGGCGCCTGCAGGTTGTAGACTGTTGGCTTCCACCCTTCAAATGACATGGCGGTTTCTCTCTCTCTCTCTCTCTCTACATATATATGCACATGTATATATGTATTCCTTTTTTTTATTATTTTGGCTGTAATTCAAGGGACCCTAGCGTTAAATAAGCACCCAAATAAACCAAAGGAAGTAAAGAGAAACGGCGAGAGGCGTGGTGATGCCATTGACATGCATAAGAAATTGTTTGGTGATGCTGCAAAGGGGCCCTGTCTTTGTTGTATCCGAAGTTTCCCTGTCCAGAAGTGGGTTGGCTACGAGGCAATACGGGTGCGGCGAAAGGGAATACTGCAAGATTTATGTGTGGTGATGGCGACACGGGCCGTGTCTCACGCACTGATGTGTTGCCGTCGCGCAAACCAAACGGGGATTCCCACTGCAACTCCAGCGGAGGCGGACTCCATGAAGGGCGAGGACACGGAGGACCAAAACCCCGCCCAAGAGGTTTGCGTGCTGAAGAAATTGGACGTATTTGCCAAGTCCCGCATATTAAACTACCTGAGCCGTCACCTGCCGGCCGGGGATGAAATCACAAGGCGAGCGTCTCCCTTTTTAATCACAAAAACATCGGACAATGCACTTTATCAGGCGGAGATGCTGCTGCCCGTGGAGGCGTTGATCTCCGGCGCCATGCAGCGCACCGAACTTCGGGCAGTCGGTTATGCCCAAAGGGAAAAGGAGGCCATCATTGCTGCCTGCGTGCATGCTGAACGATGCCTGGATGCGTTAGGGATCCCTTTATTCACATCGGACCGGCTGCAGCGCAAGCGCGTTGAAGAGGCAAAACGCGATGGTCGCTATGCCCCAATGCCTGGGGACCCACTGCGGGAGGTGCATCTCTCTGAACTTCCGTTCCCTGTATGGTTTAAGGCAGAGGCCGGTGGTGACGAAGAGACAGGTGAGGATGCGAAGTGTGCATCAGCGCAGCGAAAATCAGGATCATACTACCCGACACTGCGCAGCTACCAACCCGACTATCACACCACGAAAAGACGATATAATGATTTCTCAAGACGTTGTGGTAGCGATCCCTTTTTACGTGGCATGGCCGGTGAACTCGCATACCTTCAAGCTCGCATCTTTCGACATAACACGCAGCTGTCAGGAATGGATGATGGGGACGACGAGGGCACGTCCATCACAATTGATCCTGCAGAGGTGGAGGTTCTGCAGCCGAGTCACGTCTCACCGGATCCCGTCATTCGATCTGACACGGCACCCTTTTTCCACTGCCCGGCCATGCGTCTGGCGGTGATTAACTCCCGCCCGTTAAACGAGCACCGCATCGCAGGATTTATTGACGAAAGTGAGGGCGGCGTCTTTGATTTAGTGGAGGGCGAAAAGGGAACCTGGTGGATTCATGAAGAATTGCCTGGACTCGTAAGCCTTTTTGATCCCTTTGCAAGGAAACGGATTGATGGTTTGTACAAATCGCAGCTTAAGGTACCGTTTGACGCATGTGTCGAGACACGGGTGGATGAGGAGTTGACACAGGTAGAAATAGGATTTGGTCCAAACTGCAGAAAACATGTGAAGTGGTACACGGCAACGGCTCCTGTTCCGCACTATCCCTCTTTGCGCGCCGTTGGCAAGGCGTTGACTGTGGATCATGCCGTTTCATTATGCGCAATGCATGCGGAATTGGTGTTGGGGTTTCTTGGTATCCCATTGTTCTCTGATGTCATGGAGCAGACGAAACATTACGATGCGTGCCTGCGACATGGTCGTTTGGTGTCACCATTACCACGAGAGTTGGACAGTGAGGTGCAGGCATTATTACCAAAACCACTGAAGCAATGGCATCGCATCAAAAAGTCACGAAAGCGAGGAGCCCCAATGAGTGTGTCGGAGAAATTGGTCGCGTTGAATCGCCGCGTCGTTGCGGATCTCCGTCAACATCTTATGGAGGTTGATATATGCGGTCAGCCGTTGTACCACCAATTATTGGAGTCATCTGTGTCTGCCCTGCGGCAGTTTATGGTGGAGCAGCGACATCCCTACGAGTCAGCCTATGTCAACTTTGTCTACGCCGAGAATGGCCAGTATCGGTGCAGCATTTATTTGCCTCTTCCAGAGGCGTATGGTGTTCGTGGCGGTAATGCCATTGGCGCAACTCCCGAGAGTGCACGTAAGCTCTCTGCATTACATGCAATAGACACGCTTTGTGCTCTCAACGTACCCATCACAAAAAATAAGGAGAAAATGGAGCATCTGTTAGATATACGGAGACAGTTTGGTCTCATCCTACCGAGGGATGCTAATGATAACTGTGCCCGTGACAGCATCTCTTTCAATATTCGATCCCCTCCCGGGTATCGTGAGGTTCCGGGTGGCGCCACCACGAGAATTCCGCCGCATCAGGATGTGTGGAATCTCATTATGGCGGACGCATCCGATTTTGATGTGGTGAAGGACGTTGAGCCTGAAAAGTGCTACAAGTTGGGTTTACCCGAGACAGGCTCAATGCTCCGTGAGCTGTTCCAGACATACCTGCAAACGGTGGGGTGGACGGCGGGGGAGCAGTGGTCGTACATCAAACACTACCAGGGCTCACAACACTGGAACGGTCGTCTGCGTGTCCCATGCAACAATTACTGGATGGAACTTCCACTAGATGAGAAACTGTACGGCCGCCGCATTGCCTTGGGACGCTGCGTCTTTCGTAAAGGGGCCGAGAAGGCTTTTTTAATTCACGTCTTCCGCATTCTTTATTCTCTGCGTCTCGCCCCGTGGGACATGTACTCGGATGGCGCCCTGCAAAGTTTTCTTTGTCATTCCCAGAAGAAAAACATTGAACGGGAGAGAGTATGGTGGGCGTTTGTTGTCCGTCAATTCTTGACGTCCTCAGGCGATGAAGGTGATACGGCAACGCACGGGCCCTCTTTTGTGCCGGATGCAGAAGTGTGCATTCCCACAAGCGCCGATCTGAAACGGATTCTTTCCCCCAATCCAGTAATGACGCACGAGTTGGCAAAAAAAACTTTTGTTTAAAAAAAATATATGTTAAGGACATTTTACGACATCTACGTAAAAAATTGGCTTCAAGGTTGCTGCGTAGCCCAGTGCATTTCTTCTTCTTTGTGGTGGCTCCTGCTGGTTCTTCTGCCCTTCCACATCACCTTCTGCGACTGTCTGTCTCTTGAGATCCTGCTTTTCTTTTTCTTTTTTCTCCCCCCTTTTCCCGTACTGCTTCTATCAGGTGTGATCACGAACAAATGGCGTACGTTAAGAAGGATCAGGCTCCCGCGCAGGAGACGCAGCGTGTGCTTGTGAAGATGACGAGCCGCAACGCAAAGGCGGTGGAGAATGTGATGACGGAGCTGCTCCTGCACGCTCGCAACGAGAAGGTGGTGCTGCGTGGCCCTGTGCGCCTCCCGACCCGCACGCTGAAAGTCACCACCCGCAAAACGCCGTGCGGTAACGGCACCAACACGTGGGACACTTACGAGCTGAAGATCTACAAGCGTCTTGTAGAGCTCCGCGCGCCGACGGAGCTTGTGAAGAAGATTACATCCTTCCCTATTGACGCTGGCGTGGACGTCGCCATCACAATTCCACACGACCAGTAGCCTGCCCCCGCATGTGGGAGAGGTGGGAGGCCGCGCCGCAACTGTCTCATGCCACCTGGCGGGAAGAGTTTATTTCCCCCAGCGTCGTCACGCCAATTGCAATACATTTGTTCCTTTGTTTTGTTTAATGTTTCCATTTAAGCTTACAGACCCTCTCTCCTTCATTTCCGCACCGGAAGAGGGGGAAAAATGGTCTGCGAAGTTGTCCTGGCTTCATTGCCGGTTATTTTGTCTTGTGTGGGCTGTAAATCTTTTTTTTTTTGTCTCTTTTTTTTTTTTTTGACACTTTTGGACGTTTTTTAGTGGAAGGGTGAGACGTGTTTTGTGGACAGCAGCTGTGTTCATGGGCGGTGGGCTCTGCTATTGACTGTGAATGCACAAGAGAGTTGGGTACGCTGAGCTTGTAAACAGTAAATTGCGCAGTGATAAACTGTTGGCGCGTCGGGATGCGGTACGGCTTGCAAAGCTCAAGGCGTTTCTTGGCCAACACCAGCACGCTTCCCAGTGGTCTGCTTGCGTCGGAGCTCTAACAGATGCTGCGCGTCAAAACATTATTCCGAGCAGCGAGATGGTGTGTGACGCGATACGGCGTTGCGGTCTTAAGGGGAAACTGGACGTCGCGCGGCACCTTTATACCGACTTCCACCGGGAGATCAACAAGCCTCGCACCTTGCAAGTACATGTGACCTTTATGGCTGCCTGTGCGGAATGTGGAGATTTTGGAGAGGCCCACGATCAGTTTTTGCGGCTGTGGAGGCGGGATGCGGCGCTTCTGAAAAATAATGACAAACACTTGCCTGTTGTAGGGGCTGACCTCACTTCTGAGTATCTTCGCGCGGCGGTGGTGGCATCTCAGCGCCGTCGTGGGGAATGTCAATTTAACCCTTTTAGTGATGAAGAAGTGGCGATGGAAAAAAAAGGGGACAAAAAAAATGCCACTCAGCCGTGGGAGGTGGCATTGAAGGAGATTCAATCACTCCAAAAAGACCATGCGTGGTTTTTGAGGCATAATGCGCTGACACCCATTATGGTCGAGCATTTCGCGCGACTCTGGGAGATTGGTGGAAAGTGGGAAAATTGTCTACGGTTTCTCCGTCTCTCTGGCCAGCAGAATGTCCTCATCCCGCCGGAGGCGCACGACGCGGCCATCCGTGTTTGTTATCGGCACGGAAAGTACGCCCATGTCGTGGAGCAAATGCGGCAGATGATTGCCACCCGCTCACCACCGGATGAGCGCAGCGTTCGCCTGGCACTCTTGTCCTGTGAGGAGTGGACTGCACTGGAAAGAACGGGCCTCAAGCAGCAGCCCGATTCCTGGGTTCTTGCTGTTTCTCTCTTTGACGCGATGCGAAGCAACGGTGTGACCATGCATCAGCAGGATTATGAGTCCCCGCTGCGCTCGTGTGCCATGGCCGGACGGTGGGAAGATGCCATGCGGATCCTCGACGTCATGAGGAAAGACAACCGACCTATATCGTCGCAGTTGTATCGACTACTGCTAGCAGCGCGTATTGAGTCATGTAATTCTTTCGAAGAGGCTCAACGATTTGCGCAGATGCCAGTGATGCAGAATGGTGGCATAATTGTGTACCTGGCCCTTTTGCGTTGCTGCATGACGAAACGGGATTGGAAAAACTTTGATCGCGTCAATAAAGAAATGCGTGACCGCGAGTTCCCCGAGACATTTGACAAGATGCGTCTACTTATTGAGGCTGCGTACGTACGTGAGCAATGGCACTCCGTCCTTATGCGTTTTGCTCGCTTTGAAAGTATCTCTAGATATGAAGAGAAAAGAGTGCTAGAGGACAAAGTGGTTCGAGCCTATCCTGAGGATTTTGACATGCCAGAGGCCATTCTCGATATGGTATTGGCATCATACAAGCATATGAAGAATCACAAGGACCCTGTAGTCCACACGGCCTACCGGGGGGCACTTAAACGGAAGGCTAAAGGCACAGAGAAACTTGCATTTTCGTCTGATGAAGCTGTGACTGTTCCGTCGGAGGATTGGATGTTTTCGCAGGAGGAGCGGGAGAAAAAGATTCCACCGAAATTTTTTTAAAAACGGAACAGACGTCTGTCTTTCTGCCTGCGCGTAATTACATAAATAGCTTCTTTGTGGTGGCTCCTGCTGGTTCTTCTGCCCTTCCACATCACCTTCTGCGACTGTCTGTCTCTTGAGATCCTGCTTTTCTTTTTCTTTTTTCTCCCCCCTTTTCCCGTACTGCTTCTATCAGGTGTGATCACGAACAAATGGCGTACGTTAAGAAGGATCAGGCTCCCGCGCAGGAGACGCAGCGTGTGCTTGTGAAGATGACGAGCCGCAACGCAAAGGCGGTGGAGAATGTGATGACGGAGCTGCTCCTGCACGCTCGCAACGAGAAGGTGGTGCTGCGTGGCCCTGTGCGCCTCCCGACCCGCACGCTGAAAGTCACCACCCGCAAAACGCCGTGCGGTAACGGCACCAACACGTGGGACACTTACGAGCTGAAGATCTACAAGCGTCTTGTAGAGCTCCGCGCGCCGACGGAGCTTGTGAAGAAGATTACATCCTTCCCTATTGACGCTGGCGTGGACGTCGCCATCACAATCCCACACGACCAGTAGCCTGCCCCGCATGTGGGAGAGGTGGGAGGCCGCGCCGCAACTGTCTCATGCCATCTGGGGGGAAGAGTTTATTTTCCCCCCAGCGTCGTCACGCCAATTGCAATACATTTGTTCCTTTGTTTTGTTTAATGCTTCCATTTAAGCTTACAGACCCTCTCTCCTTCATTTCCGCACCGGAAGAGGGGGAAAAATGGTCTGCGAAGTTGTCCTGGCTTCATTGCCGGTTATTTTGTCTTGTGTGGGCTGTAAATCTTTTTTTTTTGTCTCTTTTTTTTTTTTTCTTTTTTTTTACACTTTTGTATGTGTGTGTGTGCCGATGACGGTGCTGTTTTACGCATGCACGTAGGAGAGGCAAAGGCGGGGGAGAAGAAGGAACGAGCGTTCAATCTTATGCAGCGCTCTCAATCATCTCGGCTAGGAGAAGGGGCGAGGACGCAGTCAGCGAAACAGCCTCCAGTGACCGCCGCCGCTAAGGAATCTGCGGCCCCTGTCAGTGCTATCGAGCCCCCGCCACGACACGCGGCGCTGGAGTCCGCACTTGTAAGGAACCTCAAGAAACAAATTGCGTGCCTTGAGATGGAGGTAGTTGTCCTGAAGGGAATGCTGATGAAGGGGTCGGAGTTGGGCGCTCATTCCAAAGGCGAAGAATGTGTTGGCGATGTCTCTTTTGCCGAGGAGGGGCGGCAATTGGGCTCCTCGGCGGTGGATGGTGTTCTTTTCACCACCTCTGCCCACGTGAGCCCCCGTTCGCTTTGGATTGACGCGGATAAGAGGGACACGCGGCGGCGGGAGGTACTCCACAACGCGAACATGGCAGCGCTTCAATTCACCGTTCAGCGTCTTCAGTTAGACAAAGAGGCACTCGAGGGTCGACTCCAGTGCGAGGAGCAGCTGAAGAGAAAAATGGCGGCGGAAAATGCTCAACTGCTCTTGGAGCTTCGCGAGAGTAGTGGCAAGGAGGAGGAAACTCATACACGTCTTTCAGAGGTGCTGAATGCACTCAACACCGAGCAGGAGAGGCGCCGAGAGTTGGAGAACAAACTGCGACTCTCTGCCGAACAGCCACCCGTTGAAGGGGATGAAGAACACAGAGCGGATCTGTGGAGTGAAAAGGAATATTACCGCGTCCAAACTGATCGGCTGCGGGTTTCTCAGAAGGAGAAACTTGCATGCATTGGGGAGCTTGAAAAGCAACTAAAAACAGAACGGAAGAGGGCTGCGGAGCTGGAGTCAAAGTTATCCACCGCATTGGAGGAAGTCCAGCGGCTAAATCGATTAACTGCAGAGAACTCAAGCATTACGAGAGCAGGA